GCTACTATTTTTATATAACACTTAATAAAAATTATATCTTATCCTACTTCTTTCAAATTTGTCATATGAAAATATCTGTAAAAAACTATAACTGCTTGACTGTAAAAATAATAAGATAATCAGGAAATCCATGTTACACTCCACAGTGTATAACAATTTGTTTACAATTGAAAGCTTATATCCTAAGGTCGTAGAGAGATAAGCAGGATAGTGCAAACAGGGATTTGTTCTCTCTTAGCATCGTGAACTTCTAGATTTTTACTCCCGGCCTCTTGGAAAAGAAAATTATCGCACCAGCTTTTTCTTCCTGTTCTTCTGAACAGCATAGATCTCTATGCTGGTACACTGACCGGGTTTACTTGATTTAGTTTTTTTTTTTTTTTCAACTGCATTCTTCGACGCAACAAGTAAAACATATAATATTTACATATAAATAATTATAACAGTAGCATGAAAGCTTGAACAGCTGCCATGCAGTGATGGTAGCCGTTAGTTCATCAATACGATGAGCGAGATGGACTCCGTCCTAGGAGACCGATGTCAAGTGTTAAGGTTGTCGCGGGGCGAGCGACGCTTCAGTCTTCTGTTAGGATTATTAGGTAATGTGGTGGATGACAGGTTTATGAAGAAAAGGGTTGACGGATGATGAGGTATTTTGGAAAGAGACGTTTTGTAGCGGGATTGGACTAGCTCGGTAACAAGAGGGACAATTAGGCCGTTATGGATGGTGTGATTGGATACATAAAAAGGGGCGTTGACTATTGTGTTGAGGATTTTGCATTGAAGGGATTGGATTCGATGAGGTAGGAACGCTTAGCAGTCCCGTAAAATTCAAGGCCATATGTCCAAATGCTGGCCTGGAGGGCACTGCAAAGTTTTCTTTTGTTTGTTAGCGAGAGTTTTGAAGTAGTCGTTTAAGCATGAAAAATCGTATGTTACAGTCTGTGCGAGTAAGTCGTGTGAGTTCCATATCAGTCGTTTATCCAGGTAGAGTCCTTGATATCGTACATGGTACAATTGGGATCGGAACGTTGTTGAGGTATACTGGTGGGAGCATTGTTTAGGGTGAATATTATGTTTGTTGATTTAGTTGTTGTAATAATTAGACGCTGGAATTAAATAATTATTCAGAAATCGTGAGATGCGGTCTGGTGTGATGTAGGTTTCAGAAAAACATTTTCTTTATCGTGCCAACATTTCGATCTTTATTGAGATCATCTTCGGGGCTCACAGTGTTTGTCTTCTGTGTAATTGTGCCATTCTTGCATGTCTTCTTCTAACTGGGCACTCTCAACACGAGAACAATTTGCGTGTCGTGTTGAGAGTGCCCAATTAGAAGAAGACGTGCAAGAATGGCACAATTACACAGAAGACAAACATTGAGCCCTGAAGATGATCTCAATAAAGATCGAAACGTTGGCACGATAAAGAAAATGTTTTTCTGAAACCTACATCACACCAGACCGCATCTCACGACTTCTGAATAATTATCGATTAATGGTCACTAATCATCACACATTTCTACACTGGAATTAAACTTTGTTACAAAACGTATTTTTTGGTTGTTGATAGAGTCCTCCTCTTGTTAAGAAAAGCCCTGATTATCCCATCCTTACCATCCACCTCCGCAGACCCATTTGTGCAATTTTATATATAAAGTGTCTGAACGTCAATACTTCAACAAGTTATCTTATATGTTAAGTTGAACTACAAAGTCTCTTTGTCTAAAGTATGATTCTCAATTGCATCCATGGTTCTTTATATTTGATAGAATATGTATGATAAAGAATACGACAGTAATGCTAATAATTAATAATTATTTACAAAAATTTACTGTTTCTTATGCACGAAATCCCGGGTAAAGATTTATTATAAACGGGTACTGGGATAAACACTTTCCGCTTCCCGTTTCTTTATAAGAAATGAATTCCAAATGAGAACAATTCCGGTAATAAGTGAAACCATCCGGAGTGGCACGTTAGGACTTTACGGAGGCAAAACAAATAAATCATAGCCTCACATTTAAAAATGTCCCCAGGCGTGGAGACCGAAAGGCGCCTCTCGCCCCGACAGAATTTATCGACTTTTTTTTCGAAAGGAAAATTGCATCTTCCTCCCATTTTTACATGGTGTTAATGAATAGCCGGCAAGCCGGCAGGAGAATGATGGGCGGTCTCGTAAAAATCCTCCTCCATAGGCGCCGACGGCACTTGAGTGTCGAAGATCCGGGTTGCCGAGACTATTATTTTAAAAAGTTATATAAATATTTAAAAAATATAACTTAATACCGGCATACATCGTTAATTGTTATTTTCTTGAAAACACTTTTGTAAGAATCATTCAATTACAGAAACTAAGAAAGAATAAAAATGGAAAAAAAACAGAGATAAATAGAAGGTGAAAGGGAAGAAAAGGAGAAAAGAAATGGATAGTGATTAAGATAGATAGATAGATAGATAGATAGATAGGTAGATAGATAGAGAGAGAGAGAGAGTGAGAGATAGAGATAGAGAGAGAGAGAGAGAGAGTGAGAGAGAGAGAGAGAGAGAGAGAGAGAANTATATATATATATAGATAGATAGATAGATATATAGATAGACAGATAGGTTGGGATTGATATTAGAAAAATTAACCAAGCAACATAAAACCAAAAATGGGTTTTTGTCTCGAAACTAAATGAAAACATTAATAATAATGGCATCTAAAGATAACTGACCAATTATTAATACAGTTGTCACAAAATGGCCCGACCCTACCATATTTTCAGTAAGTTATTTTGGTATGTCAAAAGTGTGTGGTGTTTAGTGACCGTTGGTCAATGATTATTCGGAGATCGTGAGATGCGGTCTGGTGTGACGTAGATTTTAGAAAAACATTTTCTTATCGTGCCAACGTTTCGATCTTTATTGAGATCATCTTCAGAGCTCAGTGTTTGTTTTCCGAATAGATGTGTCATTCTTGTCTGTCGTGGGGCACTCTCAACCGTAATAATCGTACTTCAAAAGCTTTATTTATTACACTAAACCATCATTAATGTTAAAGTTTTGGTGATGGGTGTTGGTCGGTGAACACATGTTGAACTGAGTGACATTGATCAATTTACTCTGTCTGTCTATTCGCGTTGTTTTAAGTTTAAACACATGTGGGTTTCGGCTCACGGCATCTTCAGTGATTAACTTATATTGGCAAGATGCCCAAAATCGTCACACTAACCAAAACAGCGATGAAAGGATGATCAAAATGATCGAAAACTGCCAAACTACGGATTCATCACCCCGCAAACTACTGAAACCTCAAAATCCCTAAAAATACTCTATGCCCCTAATTGGTTTAGAAATATGATTCACAGTTTCATAAAGTGTCGTGTTGATTCATAAAAGGGGATGCAACTTAATCTAAATTAATGACCTCATCTTCGTTAAAATAAGGAGGTTGCCAGCCTAGAAAATATGAATAAGAGCGTGAGGGAGTGCAGTCGGCCGGCCAATAAGTCATATCCATTGGACCAGGGAGCCCTTCCTCCTAAAATAAATGAAGGTGTCAGCGTTCCCGAGGGATCCCATGAATCCCCCTCGTAACGGGGCACACGTCTAACTGACTAATGAGCCTACGTCTTCTAGCATTTGTCATCTCTAGGGTAAAAAATGCAAGTTATCAATAGACAAGAGTACACTTCTGATTATACCAAATTCCTTGACTTATTTCTAAGAATTGGGAAAATTAAGTCATTTTTTGATTCTGTTTGTTTGCACCCTATCTAGGTCTGACGAAATTATTTAGTTAATTAAACCGTTCCTTCCTTTCTTGCTGAGATCAGTTTTATCAACCCCAGCGATGTCAAATTATCATTTCGTCAGTTCTCCGTTGACAAACAAAACAAAAATTATTTGAACAGACTTCTGACAATAAAGAATACGTCCTTTTCCCATAAATAAGTTCCCGGCGACGTTTTACTCGGTTGAGTGTCCCATTATCCGGCAGCTGTTGGCGCGTTAATCTTGAAAGGCCACCTACATCAAAGATCCTTCAGCCCATTATACGAGAATCGCTCATTTGTCAATATCCTCTAATTAAACTCCTTTTATCGTAGTGATAAATGCGTCCTAAAGGAATTAATCCGGGAGATTAGGAGCTTGGGCTTAGGGCCCGCATATAATATAATGCTATTTTCGATTCGACATCCCTGATAAAAACAGATGCGGCCGTTCACAGGATAGTGCATATAAGAAATATTATTTTCACTCAATCCTGTTACTGCTGTAATAGCAAATAAATGAAATGTCTCACTGTTAGATAAATATGAAGAAGCATTTCCAAATTTAGCTTTTTGGTCCGCATATCCTAACTGTTTTTCTCTATCAAAAGTTGTTAAGTATGTGGTATAAATTGTATTTTCTAATTTGCTAACTGTACTTCTGGTTGATTGTATGCAACTTTTTTTTATTGTTTCTAATTCAAGTTATCTCACTGGTTATGGGCTTGTTTTCAGCCTGTTCGCCATCTATTCGAGTGGTACCGTTGGATTGGTGGATTTAGTCAGCTTGTATGAAGTCGGTTGCCGTTGGTTTCTGTACCTGTTTGTCATTTTGAGTATTTTTTTAATGAAGTTTGTGTGCAGTGATTTTGTTATGAGAGGTCATGACAGTTAATACGTAGTCGCTGTTGTGACGTCTCCTCTAGCGAGTCACATATGCATGCGTTCGTTACGTTGAGTTTTGATAGTCTTATAAAGTTTATACCAATTTAAGTAAAATACCTGATTTTTTATTCTATTATAATAGAAATGTGCGTAGTGAAGGTTGCAGTTTTTGTAGTATACCTGTTAGTGTGATTTTCATGTGTTTGTTTTTGTTGCTTGTTGCCAGCAGAATTCTTTGTACTGTATGCATTTGGTTTGAGATGTGTCTCTATGAGGGGCTTTTTTTGCAAGTAATTGTTGCATTGTCTTTTTTCTCTTTAAAGTAAATTTATAGGATGTATTGAAAAAATAAGTCATTAAATCACAGATTAAAAAACAATTCAATTTATTGCAATAAATAATACAAATCTATACGCATTTCTCGTAATGCAAATGAATACAATATTGTATCATCCAAAACGAAACGAAAATCTTTGTTTTGGACATTGTTTTTATTTTTGTTTCCATATACATATTATAGTATTGTGCATGCGGTAACTATAAACTATAATAATCTATATACAATGACTTATCACCATGGACTTCCACTTTGGTTATCATAAATAAACACTTATATAACAAAAATATACAAACAAAAAGTTTTTACAAATAAATGGACATGGATAGAACCCTCATTTCACAATAAATCTAATGGCTTTTGTACAATGATAAATATATATAGATATTTATATAAGAATTTTTTTACAAATTTTTATTTAATTTTTTCATTATTTTTATATATTTTTTTATATATTCGATATGATATATAAAATTACAGAGTGTCCTCATTTACGGGGTAAAAGAGAATTCGGTTATGAGCTATGAAGTGCCTTCGGGTCAAAGGGGTTGAGATCCATAGGCCGTAGAATAGGCCACATGTCTGAAAAGAATTGAGCAAAATTAGGGATGCGAAGCGCCAAGCCTCGGAGGATACAGGGAATAGGGGGTGAAGTAAGGCGGGAGGCCAGGATGAGGGTAAGGGAATGGCGCTAACGACGGGGTGAGAAGAGGTTTGCTGTAAGGATGAAACCTGGCCGTTGAAAGCGGGCTGAGCGGAGGTGTCGGGTAACTTCTGGAAAGCAGAGGATGAGGCAGGACCGGGTCGCCGGTGTGGCTTCTCAGATGTGTCAGCAGTTCTTCCGAAGATGTGAACCTTTTTCCGCAGTACGAATCACCTGTGATCCATGAGCAGATGTAGGGTTGGGCGGCCAGGGCGGCCAACTGGGCGTGGGCATAGGCGGCGGCCATGTGACCGCACTGTGTACATCCGGACGGGCACGGTTTTCCCAAAACGTGCCCGCTCAAGCAGCCGGTGCAGTACGGGTCACGGCACATCCTCGGGTACAGGTACGGGGACTTAAGCAATTCGGCCGGGTATTTGTCTTTGCTGGGAGGCGACTCCCGTGGACTTTTGGCTGGCGTCTTTGACCTCTTGTCATCCAAATCGTAGGGCTTGAAGCTGGCTTTGGGCGAGCCGGATGCGGACGCAGGCGACGCTTTCTCCCTCGTCTCTTTCTTCTTCTCTGCCTGCTTCGGCGGGGAATCCGCGCCGATCTGCGAACACGTCTGGGCTAACAGCGCCAACGGGCTTTTCTTCGCGTCCAACTGCAACAAGGAAACTCTGTTGTAGACAGATCTCATTTCGAGCTTTCATAATATAAAAGTGTGCCGGAGGGCGCGGAGGCAATAAGGGTTGTCTGAAGAATGAACATCCCTTAAGGGCCAAATGTCAAAATATTAAACCCAACCCGGTTGTAATTGGTTGTAAAACAGATCGTCCTTCATCTTCGATTTCTAAAATCCGGTCAGGTCCCTTAGTCGCTATAAGAAAAGAGGTGCGATGATGCGTTTGTATTCCAAGAAAAAGATATCCCAGCCGAAGGTGAATAATGGACAACTCGTCAGTGATAAAGTCCGAGTCGATAGGGGGTCGGTTAATTGGGATATCAAAAGGAGAGGCCGATATTAAAATTTGTATTCCCAGGTGTGTTTTTAGAAAAGAAAGGACGGAAGCGACACCTCGTTTATAAAAGTGGCTAATGAGGTAGCCCACTTGGAGATAACTCGGGATTTATATCTCACCGTTAAAAAAACTCTCCCGTTTTATATTTATCCTGGACATTTATTTTACCGGGGCCGTCGTTTATCAACCGGCCGTCAAACCGAGCCCAAAAATCCGTTAATTGTTTTTTCTTTCACGAAAAGGACGCTAGTCGTCGGGGAGGGGGAGCTAGAAATAAATCATTTGCCTTTCGTAGCAATTATTAGGGCCATACATCATCCCCAGGGCCAGGGGGACCATCACCCCGTTTTTGAAGGGACTCGCAAGGATAAAAAACGACGGCATAGGCCTGATGTATGGAACGGGCCGAAGCGAAGGGAGTGCGATACCCCCCGGGTAATTGGCCTCCTCCTTTATCACCCCAGTCCCTTTCTCTCTGTTTACACAGATCGCAGACAGTCTCTTTTTTTACTCAAAATTAAACCGGCTCCCTGCTTTGATCCTTTTTGTACAAAATACATCCCAGGTCGACCACTGGTTTATTTTAAACTTTAGAAGCAAATACCAATCTAGAAATGATGATGACACACCGTCTTTCCCATCACGCTTATCGTGCAAATCGCGCCTAACTGCAGAAGGACCTCACAATATTTACACCACAAAACAGAAGAATCATTTGCTGTCATCCCACCACGAATTTTGATGAGTGTAGTTTCTCGTTCATTTGCACACCCCCTTTAAGAGGTTGCCGCTTAAAATTCTAAGACATATCTTTGATTTTTGGACGGCGAAAACGCTTTTTAAAAGAAAAAGAAATATTACCCTTACCGAGGTTGGCATCGGCGACAGGTAATCCGGCTTAAGGTATTGGTTGCCGTTGGCGGAGGTGATCATATCTTTATCCGTGATATCCAGTTTCGCCGTACAAAAACAAACCACCACAGAAGAAAACACGAAACACCAAATTACATAACCAAAGGTGTAACTCAGTCGACGTCTGGCTTGAGACTGACTCCAGAAGTCCAAACCAGCTGTGTTTGGCTTTCCAGGGGGGCGCCGGCTTGGAAGGGCGGCCGCCCGGAGCGCTCGCTGCATCAATCATCGCCCCCTCCTCATGACGTGAAGTTAACGCCGCCACCCCTGGAAGGGGGTTGAAGAGCATTAATTGATATATCTTCACCCCCGCCGTCTACCCCACCCGCGGCCCGGCTTAATTATGCAATTACTTCACCCTTTCTCCTTATTTTTCATTTCCCGCCTCCATGACACGGGGTTGTTTGCCTAATTGCATTTGTCTGCAGTTAAATCCCTTTGACGCGGCTGACCGTTTTAAACGCGCTAATCTGTTGCCTCGTATAATTCAGAAACGGCGTAATGCGCGGCGAACTTCTTTCAGATAGAAAATTCCTGCCTCGGTAGAAAACTGGAATTTCCCCAGTATTTATAAAAGAAGAATAAATTCATTTAACATGTCTTCGTGTCGTCACCTCAAACCAGTCGTACTGTTAAGGGCGTTTGAAAATTCGTTTGTTATTCATTGGTCTTCAAACTGCGTGTGGATGCCACGTGGACCACCTTGAACTTCATGGGTACAAAGTTTTGCAAAAAAATTGACCATTGAACAAGAAACCCCCTTTGTCATATCCCATTATTGCAAGATTTAGTGAGAAGAAAAATATATCAGCCCTTTGAATGATTATAATGCATAAAAAGGCAAAAAATTATTCATTAAAAGATAATTGCTATTTTCCTGTCTCCGAAAATTGGTTCACTTTTATTACCCTTATTTGTTCTCTAGTTATATTTTATTAAGAGAAAAATTAAACAATTGAAACTATTAACGAACTCATCCCTAAACAACTTCACTCTATTAATTATTTTCATCTGTTACAGTAGTCAATATTTTTGTTATTTCGTTTGATTTTATTTTCGTCTATATCAGTAGGTAACTTATTAGTTTTCTAGTCATTACTTTTACTTAATTAATCAACATATGTACTTATTTCTAATATTATTTACATCATTCTTAAATATCTAATAATAATTTAACTACTTGTTTCTACAGTTTACATACAATGATAAATGTGATATTTTTAAATGTATTCGCTTGAATCATTATTTTTAGCTGCTTGCCTACTCTATACGATATTGTTTAAACTCATGTAATTTTTTTCAATTGTTTTCTTACTGGTTTTTTTGTATATCTTTATATTTTATACTTTGTTACATTTCTATTTTTAAACATTTTGTAAATTGGATATATATTCAGTATATAATATATATTATTATTCTATTTTTGCATAGTGTTTTTTTAAAATTAAAGTATGTTATAAAGTTCGCATATTTCTGAAAATAAGTATTTTGGTTTTTCGGGAAGAGGAGTTTACATATCATTGCCTTGTTAGTTATTATTGCAATATGCATACTGCCAATCGATTTGCTGTTGCTTATTGAGAAGTCGGCAAGATTATTTTGTTCCCTTCCTGTTGACAAAGAAGCTCCTTTTTGTTGCACCATGCAGTGTTTGCATTAGGTTATGAGGTTTCATCACATAGAGGTTTGGTGTTTGTTTGCTATTTCTCTTTCGTACGTTCGGAGTTGATTTTAGGTCTCCAATACTGAATGTAAAACGTTTATTTGAGTTTTTTTAGGAATGTTTTACGCATAGAGAGATGCTAGATAATGAATAATTTTTATCATCTTAAGGGTGTATGTTTTCTAAGTAAAACAATAATTTTTCATATTTACGGCATTTCCTGTTAAATTGGAGTAGAACGCTTCTGTAATTCGACGATTGACATCCTAGGGAAAATAATAAATCCACTTAGAGAGAAAAATTATTGTGATTATCATAATTAATATTTTTTTATTATTTTTATTTATATATTGTTGTTTATTTTTATTTTATTTAAATGGTATCTCTTATCTGTTATAATAATTAATTATGTTATGATTAATAGTTATAATTAATTTCAGATTATAAATTATCTGTCAGTCGCATTTCGCCCTTTTGGTGTTATCGTGTTATTCTTTTAATTGATAGTTATTCAGATATCGTGAGATGCGGTCGGGTGTGATGTAGCTTTCAGAAAAACATTTTCTTTATCGTGCCAACGTTTTGGTCTTTTATTGAGTTTTCTTCTTTTAATTGAATTAATTTAAAAAAACTCAATTTTAAAAAAATTAAAAAATTAAAAAGAATGTCCTGAACCGTCGAAAATTAAAATTATTTTATGAATAGTTCAGCAGGCATCATCCAAAATAAAAGCACGGTGTCACGTGCTGCTATCGCGCGGTCCCAGTTCGCAACATACATATTGGACGGTGAAGCACAAAAAGTCCTTAACCATTTTAGACGGCTTTTGAGATTGCTTTCATTTAACGAATTATAAACAAGTAGAACTGTTAGAATCTGAACCAAGAGGGGATTGGCAACCTAGTTTTGGCGAGCCAAAATCAGCCGGGGAAGGTTTTAGATCTTATGATACCAGTACGTAACAATAACAAAACTTATTTTAGTTTGAGTATAGTCAACTTAGAGGAGAGTTTATAACTACGTTATATTGGCCAAGGTGCTGTTTAGAACTTATCTATTAAACCAAGAGTTTTTTAATCTTTGGTGGTGATCAAACTGGGGGGATTGATTAAAATAAATAAGAAAATTGATCACCAAATAAACTGTATTCTATCCAAAGTATTTCCAATTTTTTAAATAAATTTTAGTTAACAATTCACAAAGGGAGGCCACGGACTTATACCAATTTCAATTAAATGTTTTTGATGATACTAGCGGAAAAATTGTTGACACCACTCCTGGTGCTTTTAAAGCTGGCTAGGAGCTTTAAAAAATATGTGGTGATTAGTGACCGTTAGTCGATATTTATTTAGAAATCGTGAGATGCGGTCTGGTGTGATGAAGGTTTCAGAAAAACATTTTCTTTATCGTGCCAACGTTTCGATCTTTATTGAGATCATCTTCAGGGCCTGGGATTTACAAACATTGTTTACATATAACAATTACATTTTGGATGTGTTGTTACACCAAGACACAAAGCCAATACTTTTTTCTCTGCGCCCCGAAAAAACCCCTAATAATCCAAAAAATATGTAGTTTTTTCCCAAAATGGGCTACGATTTTTTTTTCCAAACACACATTAGTCATAAATTTATAATTTTAAAAAGATTTCATAGATAAAAAAAGGTTTACAAGGCTTGAGAGCGCTATAAACCACGAGTAATGGCACAAAACTGGCCTCTGTAAACAAATCAGAACCAAAGATAAGAGAAAAATATTTTATTTGAGGTTTTTTTGTTGATTTGCTCTTTATTTTTTCAAAATGTAAATTGAAGAGAGGCATCGACCACTTGAATTTTAATTTAATGTATGGTCAGTATTATGGTCAAGTGGTAGTATAATAACAAAATTCTGCCTTTGCCAAGCTTTCAACCCGTTTCAAGGTCATCATCAGGGCCTTTATTTTGAAACAAATTAACAACAATTAATTAACAGTAATTTTGTAAAAACAAACAAGCACCAATTTTTGGCAAAGGTAACTACTTACTATATTGGGTTTGTCTAAAATTTGCAGTAATTTTTTTTGTAATGTCATTTTACTACAAATTATTGGCCAATGGCAAGTAATATTTTTATTTTCTATAAAACTACATGTTTATGGGCTTTAAAGGATGCTTAAAACAAATCGGTATATTTTTTTTTTTAACAAATTTCTAGAAACGTTTTTTCATTTTCTTAACTGTTTATAACTGTGTTTATCAGTTCGCCAAATTCTTTTGTTCCGAAAAGACGAATTTCTAAATTGTTTTTTCCCATGCTTTTGTCAACATCAATCGTTTCGTCACTCCCGAGGATTTTGTTTGTTCTGTATCTGGTTATTAAATGTTTAATATCTAATGATGAATAGCTTGAATGCAACTTGTCTGATATGTCTGTTTAAACAACACAGCCGCTGATAGTATTAACAATGAGATAACTTGCAGGTGGTTCCTCCAAACTTCCGATAATTATATTTTAAGTGACGGCCAAGAGATGAAATGAAATCAAGGCACTAAGAAATACTAAACCCGCTTAACGACGTTGGTCATGAAGGTTGGCAAAAAAACATGTGTATCTTACCTTTGATTTTGACTGTTACAAGTCTTTGGTTATTTTCATATTAATTCAACTTAATCAAACTAAAATCAGCTTCGATGATGAGTATGACTAACGTATGTGGTGATTAGTGACCGTTAATCGATAATTATTCAGAAATCGTGAGATGCGGTCTGGTGTAATGTAGGTTTCAGAAATACATTTTCTTTTTCGTGCCAACGTTTCGATCTTTATTGAGATCATCTTCAGGGCTCAATAAAGATCAAAACGTTGGCACGATAAAGAAAATGTTTTTCTGAAACCTACATCGCACCAGACCGCATCTCACGATTTCTGAATAATTGAGTATGACTAACGGTCAGCCTCCCTTGAAAATGTCATTTTTCCAGTTTTTCTGAGTAGGTACAGTCAAGGCTGAAATTTAAAAGTATGGTACGGTTGACTCTGACGAAATGGTTCGGAATCGGTATGAAGAAACAATAAAACAATTAAACGGTTTTAATCACGAATGTGGCGAACCAATCGACGTCGTTTACAAACATATCTAAATCTTATTTAAGTTTTGGCTTTTGGTAAGATCTGGCACCAGGGCATGCTTATTACCTTATCCGAAAATCCTACGTAAAAGACCGCTGGTTCAGAGTGAGGTACGACAACGAGTTATCGGAAGCCAGACATACACAAAGCGGCGTCCCACAAGGGATCATTCTCGGTCCCATCCTTTATATCATTTATACTGCTGACCTACCTATACACTTTAATAGCGTCATCACCACCTTCGCGTACGACACCAAAGTTTAGTCCTCTACCTCGAATCCTATCCAAGCTACCTTCAACATCCAAGAAAACCTTGGCTTATCGAAGACTTCTGCAAAAAGTGGAGGACATGACTAAATGAAGAAAAATGTACCCATCG